GGGGGCGCGGGGGAGGGCTTTCCCCAGCTAACACTAACAGAGAAACACCCAGGCAGACAGATTGAGCATCTTGGTATCACTGTGTCAGTGCCCTTCCCAGGCCTGACAGCAGGCCTGCTGTTGAATAGGGCAAGGGACCTAGTGACAGAGGACGTGAAAAAGGCCTTTTTGGGCCTCAGTTTTCTCTGGTAAGGTCTGCCCTCAGGCCTCCCTGAACCTAGTGGCCGAGTCTGAGAGAATGAGACATTACCCACTGTAGAAGAAGATATAGTTATGGAGCACTAAAGCCAACTAGACATGCACAAGTCCATGGGACCTGATGGGATGCATCTGAGGGTGTTGAAGGAGCCAGCTGATGTCATTGCTAGGCCACTGTCTACCATCTTTGAAATGTCATGGCAATTGGAGGAGGTGCCTGATGACTGGACAAAAGTAGATGTCACACTCATCTTCAAGAAGGGCAAGAAGGAGGATCTGGGAAACTACAGGCTGGTCAGCCTCACCTCAGTCCCTGGGAAGGTGATGGAGCAAATCCTCCTGGAAGCCATGTCCAGGCACATGAAGGACAAGAAGGTGGTTGGGAGCAGCCAACATGAATTTACCAAGAGCAAATCATGCTTGACCAACCTCATTGCCTTTCCATGATGAGGTGATGGGCACTGTGGACAAGGGGAGGGCAGTGAATGTTGTCTACCTTGACTTTAGCAAGGCCTTTGATATACTTTCCCACAGTCTCCTTATCAACAAATTGATGAGATATGGGCTAGATAAGTGGACGATAAGGTGGGTGGAAAATTGGCTGGAACGTCAGGCTCAGCTCAGCAGTACAAAGTCCAACTGGAGACCGGTTATTAGTGGCATCCCTCGGGGTGGATACTTGGGGCAATATTGTTTGACATCTTCATTAACGACCTGGATGATGGGACAGAGTGCACTCTTGGCATGTCTGTGGACGATACCAAACTGGGGGGAAGCACTCGATATGCTGGAGGGCAGGACCATGACAGGCTGGAGAAACGGGCCAACAGGAACCTCATGAAGTTCAACAAGGACAAATGTCAAGTCTTGCATCTGGGATGGAATAACCCTGTGCACCAGTACAGGCTGGGGGCCAACTGGATAGAAAGCAGCTTTGCAGAAAAGGACCTGGGGGGGTGGTCCTGGTGGACAACAAGTTGAACGTGAGGCAGCAGCGTGCCTTTGCAGCAAAGAAGGCCAACCGCATCCTGGGCTGTAGTAGTAAGACTGTAGCCAGCAGTTACAGGAAAGCGTTCCTTCCCCGCTATTCGGCACTTGTGAGACCCCCATATGGAGCGGTGTCCAGTTTTGGGCTCCCCCGTACAAGAAAGACATGGACGTACTGGAGCGAGTCCAGCGGAGGGCCACCAAGATGGTCAGGGGGCTGGAGCACATGACATATGAGGAGAGGCTGAGAGAAGTGGGTTTATTCAGCCTTCAGAAGAGAAGGATCAGGGAAACCTTATTGCTGTCTGCAGCTACCTGATTGGAGGATAAAGAGAAGAAGGAGCCAGACTCTTCTCGAAGGGGCTCAGTGATAGGAGAAGAGGCAACGGACACAAGCTGGAACAAGGGAAATTCTGACTAGGCATAAGGAAAACGTTTTTCACTGTGAGAGTGGCGTATTGGGCATAAACGGCAGGGTTTTGGTAGCAGGGGGCTGCGGGGGTGACCTGTGCGGGACAAGGTCATGAATCACCCTGTACCAGTCACAGCCAGTTCCAGATGGCTCTGTAACGGATAAAAACAACCCACCTAAAGCATGCCTAAACTCCACCCACTCAGAAGAGCCTGTGGTGCCTCTGCTAAAACATAGTTAAGAAAGGGCGGTAGCTGCCAGGGAGGAGACACAGGAGAAGACACGTGAGGGCACACGTGAGGACACATAAAAGGAAAGACGTGAGGAGACACGAAAAGGAGACACAAGAGGTACACCCCCGAAGGGACTGTGGCCAGTGGAGGAACCCACGCCGGAGCAGCGGAAGAAAAGAGTGTGAGGCAGGGAGCAGCAAAGAGAGACTGCTTGCTGACCGCTGACCCCCCCCCCCCCCACCCCTTTACCCCCCCTGGCGCTCCCTTGTAACGTGCAGCAAAACCAAGGGGAGTGGAGACTAGGAAGGGAGGAGGAGAACTGTTGGACTGAAGTTGAGCCCAGGGAAGGGAGGAGGAAAGACATTTAATTGTTATGTCATCTTTGTTTCTCAATACCCGAATCCGTAATTAAAAGTTTATGTTAATCGGCAATAAATTAAATTAAGTGAAATTCCCCGAGTCAAGACTGTTTTGCCCGCGACAGGTGGTCAAACACTGGAACAGGGGCCCAGAGAAGTTGTGGGCTCTCCATCCTTGGAGCTATTCAAACCTCAGCTGGACAAGGCCCGGAGCAGCAAGCTGATCTAGTTGGATGGACCTGCTCTGAGTAAGGGGTTGGACTAGAGAGACCTCCAGAGGTCCCTTCTAACCTATGTGATTCTGTGATTCTCCCAGGCAAATTTAATCTAAACAATGGCTACAGATTCTGCCTGTATAAACACTCCCTTTGAAGTCTCAATTGAAAGTCTTTAGCTTTGGCTTTTAATAAAATTTGGCAAAATTACCATCACAAATATTTCTGATATGTTTCACTTGTTCAAATGAGTCTGTTCAGCTATTCCTGATCAAAGGGTGCTTTGAGCTTTTGTTGTAGCTGACTCCTGATTTTTTTGGGGGGGGGGGGGGGGGGGGGGTCAGGCACCCTTTCAGCAGGTGCTAGGGAGAGGCCTACATAAGTGCCAGCCTAGCATGTAGCTAACACAGGTAATCAACAGATACAGTAGTAGCTGTTGTAGCAGAAGGGTGCACGGAAAGGGGCCAGCAACTCTGCTCAGAACAGCATACATATCCCTCAGCAATGGTGATGATGCACCACAGGGCATTGTCCCCAGCAGCTGTTGGAGCAACTGTCCCTGTAACATCAGAGACCTTGACCCAGACGGGGCTCTAGAAGGAGGATGCAGTTCTGCAACTCTCAGGCGAAAGGAATGCCTGGGGCCTCTTGCTGATGCTAGGGCAGTGGAAGATGGTCTTCTAGCCTGCAGGAGATGTGCCCTGGTGGAGGATCTGTGCTGACGAGTTAAGGAGCTGTGGGAGGAGGTCAGCAGACTGCGGTATCAGAGATGATGAAAAAGAGATCAACTGGATCTTCTTTGAGACCCTGCAGCTTCAAGAACCTGAACTCCCAACTGTACCAAAGAAGGAGCAGGTAGAGTCTGTGCCTATCGGATTGAAAAGTGGAGACTCCCATGATGGTGAAGGCTGGAGGCTCGTGACTTCTGGAACCAGGAGGAAGGCTCCTACGCCACCTGAAGACTTGCAACTACAGACTAGATTCGGTGCCCTCATAGGAGGAGCGCTGTCAAAAAAAGCATCCGAATCAGCTGAACCCAAGCCACGTTGCAGCACCAGGAGGAAGAAGAGGTGAGTGATAGTAGTGGGCGACTCCCTGCCGTGGAGAACGGAGGCCCCCCCCACCTCCTGACCTGACCTGCTGTCTCCAGACGTTTGCTGCTTGCAAGGGCTCAGATCCAGGACATTGCAGAGAGACTGCAGAGGCTTGTATGGCCCTCAAACTATCACTCCCTGCTGCTCATCCACGTAGGCACCACCGATACTGCCAGGGGAGACCTGGAGCGTATCAAGAGTGACTACATGGATCTGGGGGTAAGGGTCAAGGGCACGGGGGCCCAGATGGTTTTCTCCTCAATACTACTGCTGGTGAGGGGGAAAGGGCCTGAGGAGGAGTGGATGGATCCCGCAGGTCAACAACTGGTTGTGCAACTGGTTTTGATGACAGGGATTTGGCTTTTACAACCATGGGGACCTTCTTTAGGGAACAAGGACTGATAGGGAGAGACAGGATCCACCTGACCAAGTGGGGCAAAAGCTTCACTGCCAACAGGCTGGCCAACATGGTGAGGAGAGCTTTAAACTAGGAATGATGGGAGGAGGGAGATGACTCACTGCCAATTGAGGAAGTGGTAGACCAGGTAGGCAAGCACAGGGTGATGTGAACAGAAGGGTCGAAACGTTCAACAAAACAGGGCTGAAGCGGGGTCACCCCAAGTGTAGGCACATAAATAAGGAAGTGCCTACAGGACAGCATTATGGGGAAAGCTCTCCTACCCCCCCTCCCTTTTTTTATTTAGGAAGTCAGTAAGACTGGGTGCCGCTCTGAAGTGCCTGTACACTAATGCACACAGCATAGAGAACAAACAGGAGGCATTAGAGGTCCTTGTGCAATTGCAGGGCTACAATCTTAATGGGATTACTGAGACGTGGTAGGATAGCTCACACGACTGGAGTGCTGCTGTGGATGGATACAGGCTCTTTAGGAAGGACAGGCTGGGAAGGCAAGGAGGGGGAGTTGCCCCTTATGCAAAACAGCATCTGGAATGCATGGAGCTTTGCCAAGGGATGGATGATGAGCCAGTTGAGAGTTTAGGGGGTTAGGATTAGAGGGCAGACTCACATGGTGGTTGTTGTTGTTGTGGGCGTCTGCTGCAGACAGCTTGATCAGGAAGAAGTAGATGAGGCCTTCTTCATGCTTAACCAACCTGATAACCTTCTATGATGAGATGACTGGCTGGGTGGATGAGGGGAGAGCAGCGGATGCTGTTTATCTCTACTTTAAGGCTTTTGACACTGTCTCCCATACCATCCTCATAGACAAGCTCGTGAAGTATGGACCGGATAAATGGACGGTGAGGTGGGCTGAAAACTGGCTGAACTGCTGGGCTCAGAGGGTTGCGATCAGCAGCATGAAGTCCAGCTGGAGGCCAGTCACTAGTGGTGTCCCCCAGGGGTCAATCCTGGGGCCAATACTGTTTAGCCTCTTCAGTAATGAGCTGGATGATGGGACAGAGTGCGCGCGCCCTCAGCAAGTTTGCAGATGATACAAAACTGGGAGGGGAGGCTGATAGACCAGATGGGTGTGCTGCCCTTCAGAGGGACCTTGACAGGCTGGAGAAACGGGCAAAGAGGAACCTCATGCAATTCAGCAATGGGAAAAGCCAAGTCCTGCTCCTGGGGAGGAATAACCCCATGCACCAGTACAGGCTGGGGGCTGACTGGCTGGAAAGCAGCTTTGCAGAGGACCTGGGGGTCCTGGTGGACAAGAAGTTGAACATGAGCCAGCAATGCGCTCTTGTGGCAAAGGCGGCCAACAGCATCCTGGGCTGCATTAGGAAGGGCGTCACCAGCAGGTCGAGGGCGGTGATCCTTCCTCTGCTCAGCACCGGTGAGACCCCCCACCTGGAGTCCCGTGTGGAGTTCTGAGTTCCCCAGGCTAAGAAAGATGTGGACATACTGAAGCGAGTCCAGCGAAGGGCCACAGCGATTGGAGCTCCTGACCTAGGAGGAGAGGCTGCGAGAGCTGGGATTGTTTACCCTGGAGAAGAGAAGGCTCGGGTGGAAATCTTATCAATGTGTATGACTACCTGGTGGGAGGGTGTAAAGAAGACAGAACCAGACTCTTCTCAGTGGTATCCAGTGAATGGACAAGAGGCAATGGGCACAAATTGAAATACAAGAAATTCCACTTAAACATAAGAACTTCTTACTGTGAGAGTGATCAAACACTGGAACAGGTTGCCCAGAGAGGTTGTGGAGTTCTCATACTTTGAGATATTCAAAACCCAACTGGAGAGAGTCCTGAGCAACCTGCTCTAGTTGACCCTGCTTTGAGCAGGAGGGTTGGACTTAGACAATCTCCAGAGGTCCCTTCCAGCCTTAACCAGTCTGATTCGATATTCTTTGGGTCACAGTAAGGGAACTAAGAGGATCACATCAACATTAAACACTACGGGTAATATACAACTACATTTTTATTTGAAATATTTATTATTTTCTTCCTATAGACTTGCAATTTCTTTCCAACTTGTTTAAAGATTCTTCTAATTCAATAAAAAATGGTGGGAGTGGAGGAATCTGTAAGAGACTTGCTCCCCAATAATTCCTAACAAAATTAGTGGTTTTTGACCAGCTCAGTTGAACAAATGAAGTTGTTGATAGTATGGAGCTAAAGAATCTTACCTGTGTACAACAAAACAGCTAGATCAACTTCTCTTCTGAATTGACTTCAACTCATAGGAATGATACTTCACATATCCTTCCAATTTTAAAATACACTTTGCAAGAACACTTTTATTGTTAATTTTGCTGAAGACTTGACTGCATGCAATTTTCTATATTATAGAGACACAAAAAAAGTATAAAGTTTAAGATACTTACTTGGGATACACAGGCTCATAAATATATTTTTCTCTTGCTGACAGGAGATCAAAAAATAAGATGTATCCATTTACAGTCTGAAAGAGAAACACTGGTAAGATATACAACACCTAATCAAGCTGTATGTGCAAAATCTATGAAAATCTGTTGCGACTGCTAGACAAGTCTCAAACTAAGTGAACACCAACACAGATGCTCATACCAGTTTCAGCGATATTAAACAGCTTATCCTTTGAAATTAATTATTGATAAAATCCATACAATTCCCTTAGAAGCCACTATACAGATCAGTCAGTAAGGAGAAAAAATGAAGAACGTTACTGAGAGATGAATTCAGCATGAAGGGATTGGGCTCTGATTTTTATAGGCTCAAATACTTGAGATGGAAAGCTGCCTGAGAATTTTCAGAAACACAGGGCACTTAATTCCCACTAAAATGCAGAGTTAACATATGAAGGCATCTAGTAGAATGTAGTAGGCACTCAGAGCAAGATGTACGGGGATTTGGACACCTAGGGACACTAAAGGGTACACAGGAGCTAAGTATGGCCTCTCAGTGTCAGGCATCCCGGTAGGTTAGTTGGTTGTTTTGGCTTGTTTGTTTTGGTTTAAATCCTCTCATCACCCAGTACCTTTAGATAGCAACTATAACACTATTTAGCTAACAAATGTAAAACATTTAGTCATCAGATCTTCTAGTCAAGGCTAAAAGCTGATCCAGTGCTTGCATAAATACAGGAGAGACAGGTGACCAGTAAGGTTAGTTGTCCAACCATTAGGTGGTATGATATATAGATATATATATATATATATATATAAACCCATAAATTTATCATTTAGACAAATAGGCAAATGCATTCCAGCTAAACAGTGTTTCTTTCTAATCATTTTACTATGAGATGGGCACGTACCCAACATAATATGACTGAAAACAAGAAGCCATGAAATGAAAGGTTTCAAGGACTCTTTGCAGGGTTGGGTTGGTTCCTCCCCCCACTCCTTTCAATAATCAAGAAAAATGCTCATTAGCTTAGTCCATCAGTTTACAGGGGGGTTTTCACGCAAACGTTTTGCTTTGTAACAAATGAAATTTGTGTTTCAACTTCAAAGAAAGACCAGGAACATGTTTAAGAAAAATGCAGTTGTTCTCATTCTGCAAAGCAAATATCTTTTCTTGTTCAAGAACAAAATAGGTACCATAGTGCTGATCTTGAGACAGGCTGAAAATAAGTGGAAGCTTTTCCCTATGAAGTAAAATAATTTTGAGGTATTATATAGTTTATACATATATATGTACACACACGCACGCACGCACATGAACTTTTTTCTAACATCTATGCAGGTTCTTTCCATTACTTATCCATCATAAGCATTTAACTCGTAGATTGTCTTATGCTGGAAGAAAAAGTAAAAACAATACTTGCAAAACTTCTTTATGCCGATGTTAAGATACAAAAGGCCTTCCTGAATTCCATCCAAAGTGCAAGCTGCTGTTGTTACAAGGCTCACTTTTGAATAGAGCCTTAAATACCACAAATAGTTCCTTGAATTATAAAAGCATTCTACCATAAGCTTGCTGCACGTTGATTCCTCTCCCCCCCCCCAGTTAGTTTCCTACATTATAAGAGATGAGACTGTTTTGCAGTGAAACTTACTAAGTAACCATCACTTTCATTCCCTGATTGCTCTTATCAGAATGGACTGTCGTATTGACCTGAAAGGTATATCTGCCTACAGACCAAAGAGTAAACATTCAGTGCAATGCAAGGGAGAAACCATATAGATGAATTATATGCTATGAAGTTCAATAAGGTTACATTTCATTTGTGGGAATGGGCCCAGAAGAGTAGACTGTATTGGAAGACTGCCTGCAGCAGGGGAAGGGCTAAAATGCCTTGCACACTTTTCTAAACTGAAGTGTCTTACTCTAGTTCACAAGTTTAATTACCGGAATTAGCAACCATATGTGTAAATGCCAATCTAGACAAGAAACAAAATGTTTGTAGGATATCCTGAGTCAGCCTAAGTCAAGTCTGAAGTAACACTGGAAGAGTTAAAGAAAGATGCTAAAAATAAAGCAGCAACAGGATGCGAGAAGAAACTGCCGCGTATCAGGAGAAAGGAAAGAGACCAGTTTAAAATATTGGCTAGGATTGGGCTCTACAGACATCAACAAAAAGAAAATATGAAACAAAGACGGTCCAAAGCAAGAGATCACTTTAGAAATGCTCCAACAGTTTAGCGAGAGAAGACACTACTGCTAAAAGAAGCTAGCACTGCTAGGGGATGAATGCGATAACTACTAAAGCTTGTTTAACTGGGTAGCTTTTAAAGCAACTTGAGATTGTTTTTAAAAAGCCTTGTATGCCAGATCAAAGTTTGCTTTCGTTATGTGTGTTTAAAATAAAAATCACTATTATTCAGATCATAAACTGCAGAGAGAGTTCTTTTCATGGAGAAGTTTCTAAATGCTCCAACATTGAGAAAGCAATAAGAGAACACTGTAGATGGCAGTTCTACTAATGTCTTGACATTAAGTCCAGAATATTCTCCTCAACTCGCTTAATAAAATTGTAGTTAATTAGCCAAATGGTACATTTGCTTATTGTATTTCTGCTTGCTCACCTTTTTTAAACACAAAGTACACCATGGATTTATTATTACAAACTGCAGCAAGCATGGAACTGTGGGGCACAGGTAATGACAGATGAGAAATTGCAAGCCACCTATTTTAGCCTTCAAATTAATATATTTAGTTATTGCACAGGACTTCAGCAGTTAACTTAAATAGCCTATGCTACCTGTGACATTGATTTTCTTTTATTTGTGCATCCGCTATTGCTTCATGATTTACACTCATTAGTTTTCTCCTTGCTGGAAAAGGTTACAAAGAAGGAAGAAAATATTTTCTCAAGTAATGTTTTTCTTTCATGGAGTCAACAAGTTTATCCCCTAGAACAAAAATTCACTAAACTTTTTACTTGAAGATAAAATTATCGCTTTGCATTGGCAGGACTATCGTCCTCATTAAGCTCCTGAAGCTGCCTTTTCTTTCTTTCTATCCCTCCCTCCCTCCCTCCAATAAAAGAATCAACATTCACACATCTGGCCCCAGTGGTAGGACTCGTTAGTTATCTGATTCAAGTGAAACGTCAAACATTCCAAATGCTTATTTAAAAAGATCTTGCAAAAACAAGTGAAAGGGGGTGTTCAAACTGACATAACAAACATGTTTGAATACACAGCTACATGTAGGAGATGTTATGAAGAGTATTCGGAACCTCATGACACTCAGGGTTTCAACAGTTGTCTTGACCGTTATGAATACGAGTCACTTTAGCTTGCAAAATTGAAGTTTCCCGAATTCTAAGACACGAGGGTTTAGATTTCCACTGTTTGTCAGAAAGAACAGTAAGCGTTTAGCTAGAGAAATATTTCGAAGTACGATAACTTAGCCAAAAGGAGATTAAAGCCAGTCTGATTCTCAACTGAACCATAAGGGCTCTTGGGCAAATGGATCCCAACATCACAGAAAAGATGCAATATCTTAAACGATTCAATATAATAAGCTCAATCTCTTCTGAACTAGTTTATAGGAATGTAATTAAAATGTGCTTAGACAGTTTACTTGCTATATTACGTGCTGTATTATGAAATTGAAAAAAATCCTTTGTTTATTCATGATAAATCTTGCAAAGCAGCCCTCTCTTTGCCTTTGCTAATAAGTAGTAGCACTTGTGAACTGAAGATATAATCTGAAACTAATAAAAATGCTTTACATATAAAGGCAATAATAGAGACAGGAACTACTCCAAAAAAAAAAAAA